CCCCTAGAGGACAGAGTGGAACTGCCCACAGGGTCTCCAAGGCTGTCAGTCTTCACAGAAGCAAAGCCCAAACCACACCCACTGCCTGGAGTCCATTCTGACCCACAGCGCCCCTAGAGGACAGAGTGGAAGTGCCCCACAGGATTTCCTAGACTGCAATCTTTACAGGAGCATATTGCTGGGTCTTTTCTCCTGTGGAGTTGCTGATGGGTTTGAACCACCGACCTCTTGGTCTGCAGTCAAGCACTTTAACCCCTGCTACACCAGGGCTCCTTTTACACCACCCAGGGGGTACCTTAGAGCTCACAGATCCGCCATTACAAGAGCGGCTGGGCTGCCCACCTCTCTCCCGCGGTGAGCGCGGCCAGCTTCGCCTCTCCCGCCTGGGGCTCCGACGGGTCGTCCAGAATCCTCTGTATCTGCTGCTCGATCTCGCGGGGCCACAGCAGCCGGCCATCGTGGTACAGCCAGACCTTGAAGTAGCGTCCTCGGTGGTAGACAACGATATGCTTGCTGTCTCTTATGTGCTGTATGGTGTCTGCGGCCACGGCGCCGACGGGAGAGACAAGACTCAGTCACGGGTCAGAGCAGTTTAAACACACTTACAGTCTCTGCTTTCCAAACGGCCATTTACACGGGACTATTCCGTTTCATGCTCCCCTTTCAAGAGTCTGCAAACGAGCGAGTGTGGGGTAAGATGGGCGGGTACGGTGGCTGGAACAGTGGGCTCAAGCAGCAGCCACCGAGGAGGGGGCAGGGCCGGAGCCCACTCAATGGCAACGGAAAACACAGAATCAGACAGACCCACTGTCTAAGCCCAGCTCCACTCGCATTGGAGGCACGATCCGGGGGACAGAGCAGCCCTCTGAGCCTCAGTTTTCCCATCTGCAAAATGGATATAATACAATACCCACGAAGCATTTGTTCCCACAGCCAGCAAGCAGACCACATCCTTATACTGTATTCATCACTTTACAACAGGGCAATCAAGAAAGCATTCTCAGGAGGGAGAGAGAAGTTACTAAAATGAAGAGCCTGTGAAAATTTCTCATCACAGCGCTTCACCCAGAGGGAAGGTGGGGAAGTCAGGTCATGCAACAATTACTGCTCCTGCCGTCCCAGGGACAGCTGCATGTGGGGCAGTCACGGCTGCAGGAGACAGGAGACTTAGGGAGAAGATCGCAAAAGACACACTCAGAACTAGAAGAGGAAGGTGATATACAATTAAAAAAGCAGTGAGTTAGAAAGTGTAAGCAGCTAAAAAATCAAAAGGCAATGGAACCAACGTAGCCTGGAAATTCCGAGAATGTTCTGCCCCGCCCCAGGGGAGGGATGGTGCAAGGAGTTGCATAGATAGAGCGTTAAAATTTAAAACACCAAACTCACTGCCAAT